AAAAAAAAAAAAAAAAATCAGTTCTGGGACTAGCATATGAAAGGATAACTGAATATAGAGTCAAGAATATAGAGTCAAGAATATAGAGTTTTTGCAATTAAGCCAAACGTCCAGTTGTTCTTTTGCAATTAACCAACATAAAGAGTCAAGAATATAGAGTTTTTGTCTGAATTACAATTTTTCATGTTTCATATGCTTGACACGTGGCCACAGGAACTGTTGGACGTTATCTAGATTAGGATAGCTGCAAAACAATAGTCCAAGTTAATTTTCCATGTGATTTAAAAATAAATAAATAAATAAAAAACTGAAACTGGATTAATTGGCATTTGCCCGTGCTTGTGAAACACTAACTCATTTAGATGGTGTATCTCGACACCCTCTGGTAGTGCTTGCAGAGGGACCCAACCTCTACGCACAGCGACCCGAGCAATGTTCACATCAACCTAATGGAAAGAAGAACATTCCCAAGAAAGAAGTAATGCACGATTAGTAATACCCAACCAGTTACAAGGAAAGCAAAAGTGACAATTACCCCATTGAGAATTGCTTTTGTGTTACACTGTAGCCTTTTTGCTATTATGTAAATATAAGCATCTCAAACACACCATTACATTTTGAAAATTACAAATCAAGGCGTGTACTCAACTAAAGATGTTTTTGGTAAATTTCACAACGCTTAGGAATTCGTAGATAACCCTATAGTTCTTGTTCAAAAGCTTACCGGGAATGCTTGTTGTTGAAGTGCCAAAAGCCTCACACATTCTACGCTCTTCAGGCCAAGGCCAGGTATACTTAGCAAGTAAGCCCTACAAAGTAATAGAATTGATATAATCAAAGACAAAACTATAGTCAAACTATATTGGATCGTTAACAGAAAATCCACATCATACTTTGTTTCCTCCGGCATAGCATCTCTTAGCCACTCAAGGTCAATGCTACCGTGATCTTTAGCTAATCGCTCAAGAAAATCCTGCAAAACAGAATGTCAATTAAATTAATAATTTTAGGAAGTAACAACAAAAAAATTAGGCCAAAAAAAAAGACCCCCAATTTCCAAACATATTCAAAATAAGCCGACGTGTTTATTAAAATTACACATTAAAAGATTGAAACTTCCACTGGTGCTATATCATTCAAAATCTTTGGTTTCCTTGTAATAAGTTATAAGTAGAAACCTCAAAGGATTTTTTCCTAATTAATTCAAAATCTAAAAGTTCATGAAAAAAATTCGATTTTCTTTATTGGTTGTTGCAAATGAACTTTAATCACCTTGATTCTTCTAGCAAGCAAATTATTCATTCCCCTCCCCATGATCGCTTTAGCCACCTCATCAACGGTCGCTTGTCTAACCGCCTCCCAATCAACAGAATCCGTTGTATATTCGGTTCTGTTTTTTGATACGCCTTGAGAATATTTCACCCTTAACTTGTCCCAATTGGGCGGTTCTTTGTTTAACTTGTTTTTGCCTTTTCCTCCTCCAGAAGTAGATTCGATATAGGAGGAAATTTCATTTCCATCATTTTCAATAATCAACGGTTGTCCGCACTCGTCAGAGGATAAGGATGGTGATAAGGCTATTTTCACTTTTTCACTATTATGAATGACAATTTCACTTTTACCATCATTACCAATGTCCTCACTCATATGCAGAGGCCGATATCTCTCTCTAAGAGACATAAAGGCACCACTGCAAGCCAAATAAATAAACAAATAAACAGCAGATATAGAAGTAGAACAATATAATAATGGCAATTTAAGAAAAACTTGATGACCCACAATTTACCTGGAAAGGTTGTCACCAACATTTTGAGTCAGAAAGACTCCGACCACTGAATCAACAATGGAGCCTTTCCAGGCCGAGTACTTCATACTTCCTAAGAGAGTGACATTTTTCAACATCCAATGAGTGCAATTGGGATTGGCATGAGAATATATACTGCCAGATAATCATAAAACGAATCCTTGTAATCTTTTTCGTTTAGTCAATTAAGAAATGTGAAAATGACTCTTAATAGAAACATAATTGTGATTTGAGTTCCTAAATCCAAAACAACAGTTAGATGCCATAAAAGTAAACACAGTGTTTGAACTCTAACTACATCTGTCTATGTTGATTGATGGTCCGATAGTTGCAATAAAGTAGTGAAATGATGACTGACATTCTTGAACAGGAATCAATATAGGTATCAAGTAATGTACTTTATGTTTAAACTAAATTCCTTTTCATATGGTTTTGTCTGCACATAATTATTTTATGATGAGGGTTCGACCACCTCGCACACGTTAGGGTTAACCATCATGGATAGGAAAATTGATAAGCTGACGATCACTAATCATCAATGTGACATAATAGGAAAAAACATGTAACATGGTTATGAGTATCAAGAATACCTTGAATGTGATACAAGATGGCAATGAATTCGTCGAACCGTCCTTCATATAATTCCCTTTCCTCCTTCCAATAATTTGTTGCCTCGTCATCTTCTCTCTCAGGAGTGAGATCAACTTTTGGTACGAGTTCTAGAACTTCTCTCTCAGGATTAAGATCATGTTTTAGTATGAGTTCTTGAGTTGGCACATTGAGGTTTAAACACTCCACCTTACGAGTAGCAAAATCAACTAGAGCTTTTGTAAAATCATCCCCTAAAACAAGAAAAAAAAACACAGTGTCACATGAACCAATATTAAAAACAGACCAAAAAGAGAAGAAAGAAATGCGAGATAAAACATATTAAAGTCTTGCAGCTCACAAATTTGGCTCTCTCCGAGATCCACATCATCAACACCGCACAGACCCACGAAAAGTGGTGTTTCCACATCTGAACCACCATTTTGAGCTTCCACACAAGCTGAAGAATAGTCTTCACAAATTTGGCTCTCTCCGAGATCCACATCATCAACACCGCACAGACCCACGAAAAGTGGTGTTTCCACATCTGAACCACCATTTTGAGCTTCCACACAAGCTGAAGAATAGTCTTCGGCTACTCTGATAGCAACTCTGATAGCAGATACTCTTGAAAGAAAAGAGTCGGAGAACTGTAACAGGGAAAGATCATTGATGAATGATGATAAATTGCTTTCACGAGTGGATGTCTTACATCTTCCCTTTCTAGCCTTCCATGTCAAATTCAATGTGGATTTTTCAAGCGCGGCACATTCAGTTGTGACCCAGGGGAATTTCGATTTCCTTTGGTTTAATGTTCGAGGCCTTGTCTTTCTATTCCTCATAATCTGATCCAAGTCCACCGGCTTAATTTTCATTTCCTGAGCAATTGGAGACGTACGAAGAAGCAGAAGAAGCTTATCAAACGCAATTGGTTTTAGCCGCCTCATCCTGGGTTTCTTGAATATAAATGGAAAATTCGGACCCAACTTTCTACTGTTCTTCAAACACTCATTTGGCCTCAATATTCTTCTGTAAACTCCCAAGGCAGTGAATCGATTACTTTTTCTGCCATCATAAACATTTTCACTCTGATTCGAGCTGCAACAACCGATGTCGAAATCGATTCTTCTTCTGCTAGATTTTTCAGTAGAATCGAGAATATTTACGGGATCAATGTGTCTCAAAAGATTGGCCCGGCGCTTTGGGGTAAAGAGGTTGGGGGTTATAGGCAATATTATATGTTTAGGAGTCGAAGCATGTTTTCCAATTTTAGCTTTATCAAGGACTTTAGGACGGTGCTTCGTCTTTCTCGAACTCTTCCCTTCGTTCCTCCTCCTCCTCCTCCTCCCTGATATGTCGTTCGGAGCTTTGCTCAAGTATGAGAGAAACAAAATGTCACAACAGCCATGTCAAACATGAAAAACGCATCAAGTTCATCTTTTTAAACTGGGATATATCACTCCAACAAATCTAACAACTATACAGTGTATTATCTAATAGATTGCATCACAATAGCTTGCAAATTAAACAAAAAAATCTGAATTTTCATTATGATTCAATCTGATAATAGAAAAAGAGACACACAAAAAAAAAAAAATACATATATATATGTATACACAAATATAAACACAGTATTGTGAAAAAAATATATATATATGTATACACAAATATACACACAGTATTGTGAAAAAAACGCAGCATGTACCTGATAACCCCAACATGATGCACTCTGATTTACCACTTAATCCCAAAAGCTCTATACTGCTTGAATTCTCAGGAGCCACAAATTTGGCTGGCGTATCTGGCGCCAAAATACACTTCCCCTTGGACGTGACCGCCATTATTAGGTCAAGTTCTGTGCAGAACTTCA